ATGGTAGGGCGGGCGCCGTTGTATGTCTGGTCGGAGTGGTGAGGTCATCGTGCCATTTCTGCGCCTCGCGCTGGCAGGCTCGGCGCGCCTCGGCGCTGTCCTGCAGCCGCCAGTCTGGCAGCGGGTCGGGCGCGTCAACGATGTCACCCTCGTTGGCGTCGGTGTGCCATTTGGCCAGTTGCCGTTTGGGTACAGGGTTGGTGATGACCTCGATGCTGTCGAGGTCGAAACGTAGGTGGCGCCGTGGTGACGTGGTGGTGCGTGTAGATGCAGACATCGAACTCTTTTCACGAATCGCGTATGTTCGGCCTCGTCGTTGGCCGCGTCGCGATGCTGCAGGCGAGTGGTTCCTGTGGCGTGTCGAAGGTGATCGCGCGGATCCGCGGGAGGCAGATCGGCTGCCGTCTCTATTGCTCCTTGTAGGTGAACGTCCTCGACCGCGTTTGCGGCTGCCGCCCCGCGAAAGGGAGCGGGGGCGCTGTGGGGGCCACCTGCGGCCCCCCAGACTTCGTGAGCCCTCTCGCCCCTTGCGCCCCGGAGATGGCGACCCGCGGCGTGACCGGCGCGGGCCCCCAGGACTCCGCGTGCCCTGACGCCCCCCGCGTGGGGGGTGCCGATGGCCCCCCGCGCTTCTGGGGGAGGGCGTCCTGTTGCGACTGTCCTGACTGTAGGTTGGGCTGGGGCTCCTCTCGGGGGTCGTGGTGCCAGACGCAACGTGGGCGCGGCGGCAGCTGTTGCCCATCTTGCAATGTTTGCCAGAGCTGGCAAAGGAGCTGCATTTAGCAGCGTGGGGCCGTCTGCGCCGGTCTTGTCGTAGGCAGGTGCCGTGTTCTGGGAAAGAGAAGCACAGGTTCTTGGCGACTCCATCTTCGGGCGGCTGTTGTGCGCCTCGTCCAGCGTCTCTCGCGGGCGCCCCTCCTGGCCCGTGATGCGCGCCCGGGAGGTCTTGGCGTGGAGCGGTTGCCTTCAGTGTGTAGTAGTTAAAGTCGTTCGCCGTCCTTGCAGCGACCTGCCTTGTAGGCAGCGCGAGCGACCAGCTCGTGTCGAGTGATCTCGTTCTTGAGGTTGCGTTGGTTACGGTCGAGTCGTTGCACCTCGATGTTGGCCAGAACGCGTTCTCAAAGCCAATCGTGTGCACGGTTGGGGTCGCCAATCGTCGTCGTGTTGTAACCGTGCATGTCTTGCTTCGCCCTTGGACGTCTGCGGATCTGTGCTCGGAACAATGACTCGAGAATTTTCGTGTTCGGTGGATCGCGGCACACCAAAAGTAGGTTGTCCGAGTCCACAATGAACCGATTGATGCCTTCGTCTCGCTTGCGGATGAGTTCTCGACGTTCGAAGTCGTGCATGGTGCGTCGACTTCCGTGACCTTGTAGGATTGTAAGATAACCCAATCGATCTGTCTTCCTTCCAAAATGCGGCTGGCTTTTTGTTCTTGAGCATTGAGGTTCTTCGCGTGATGGCGGTGTTCAGTGGCAAGAACAGCCGAAAGTCCAGCGGCGAGTCTGCAATCGATGCTCTCGAGAAGTCACCGCTGTCTTGTAGGTCCTCGAATGTACTGCCCGGGTGTTCAGCAACGCAGAGGGAGGTGCATGCCTTGGCAGGACGTCCTGATGCGATGCCGAAGTTCTCCCTGGCCATGTGGTGCCACTCTTGTAACTGGGTAGCGAATGGCGGTTGAGGAATGCGAGCAGTAGCTGATTACTTGATCGGGGTGGTGCTACCAAGAGAATATCATGACATATTTGGTGGCGGTATTGGTGGCGTCGGCGATGGTTCACGCGCAGGGGATACGTGGCGTGTCTGTGTTGAGGCTGCTGCTGATGCGGCTCCTGGTGACGTGCGTCGCGGTTGTCCTGCGCGGGTGTTTCCATCGGCGGGGTCGGGGCACTGTCGGTGACGTGCTCTGGAGGTTGCGAAAGGAAGTTGATCTTGGGCTCGCCAACGTGAGCCTTCATGGGAGCTTCGGTGGTCGTGCGATCGTTCTGCAACTGTTCGACGCTCTGTCGGAGACCACGTCCCTTGTCGTTGGTGTCGTAAGTTCGTTGGGAGTACTGGTCAAGCGGATGCTCTGAGTCCTGGAATCGTCGGTTGTGTGCTTCGCGCTCTAATTCCAAACGGGTGAGGGCGCCCCTGCCTGTGCGCCTTTTCGGCGTCTCTTCCGCGGGGGGTCTGGGTGAGTCGCAACTGCGCGTGGTCTGCCGCCTCCCTTGCCTCTGCCATCTCGGCAGCGAAAGAGGCGAAGTCGTGAACCGAAGTCGGGTCTGCCCAGCTGCGCAGTCTGGGTCCGTGCAACATGCAACTCAGCCTGTGCAGCCTGTAGGTCAGATAACTGCTGCTCGACCGTGGGCACTCGATTGTCAAGCGCTGGCGCGCGCCCCTCTGATGCGTCGAGACGTTGAGCAACGGCCGTCTCGGCAGTGCACAGCCTGCCGAGCAACTCGGACGTTGTTATGGCGTTCTCGGAGTGCGGTTTGGCAATGGCCGCGCCAATTTTATCACGCGCAATGAGGAATCCCTACTTGTACCACAGTGGCAAGATCCCGCCGCAAAGTCAGGATCTCATCGTGTGAGGCCCGCGCAGCGGCAGCGCCCGCATCCCTGGCGCTCACGAGCTGCGCCTCCATGGCAAGAAGGTAGTCGCCGAGCGTCTGGATTGCAATGGGGTCGGCACCCCACTGTGCCTCCACACGGTCAACTTGATATTGGACCTCATTGAAGATCGATCGATCGCCAGCGATCCGAGCGTCGACCAGGGCAAGAGCATGCTGGATCTCTTGCCTCAAGTTTGCTGTCTGGGTCGCGTGATCAGCGACTGCGGCAGCAAGACCCGTCAACGGTTGGGCCGTGTAAGTTTCAACCGTGTCTCTAAGCTCTGCCAACTCAGTGGCGGAGGGCGATGCATGTGGCGCTGTGTCGCGCCGCAGGGAATTCTGCCGCGAACGCCTCTGTGAGGGGCTGCGGCTGGTGTCCCTATGCCGAGACTGGAGATGATACCGATCGGGGACTCTTAGCTATGAGGTCACGACCTTCGATGGCACGCGCGTGTTCGCACGCGGGAACCGATGTGGGGTTCGAAGGACCTCTGGTGTCCCAGCGGCGGTGTCGCGCGGAAGCGCTTGGAGGATACGTTTCGTTCGAGCCGCCGCGGGTTGTCACACCGGTGAAGAGAGTGGAGGAAAAAAGGCGTGGGTGTTTCCACCGACGAAGGACTTTAACAAATATTGGCTCCAGGTGACCGAACAGTCGATTGGAAACTGGGTCCAAACCCTGGGGTTTATGATTGCGCCGTCGCAGGGTCTTCACCTGGCACGAAAGATTTGGACATATCCATATCTGACGAGCGGGGTCGTGCCTGCTTCGCACGCCGAAGCTCAACTTTAATGCGGGGATCGGCGCTGCCTTTTCCTGGAAGGGGGGAAAGCGGTGGCATTCCCTGTCCCAATGCCCTCTCCGTGTCGTCGCGAAGCCCGCGCAAGGTCGGGGAGCCACCGCGCATCGAGTCGCTGTCCCCGCAAGGAGCAGCGCCATGCACAAGGCTCGAAGTCGGCGCGAGGTTTCGCAACGGAGAACGAAACAGAAAAGCCTGCTAACCTGTGAACGGAAGTTAAGGACCGATGAATCGATTCTACCGTATGATCCGTAGGTAGAGGATGATGAGGAAACATGGGGATCTTTTATCCTCGCAAAAAGATCCAGAAATATATTCAATATATCCAATACCTGAACCCAGAGGATAGCAGGATAAATGGCTAGAAAAAAATGAGCGGTCTTCACACACATTAGGAGGGGGGGCCATCACGCCGAATCTCTTACGGTCTGGCGGCTCTGGAGGACGTCTCGGGCGCCGCGGCTTTCTCGGAACCCCTGGGCTGCGAGAGGAGCGCCTCTCGGTTGCAGGTCGGGCGCGGCCCGAGGGGCGCCCAGTGCGAGGCAGGATGGGAGGCAGGTCGCAGGCAGGCTGCGAGCAAAGATAATCTGGACACGACCTGTTAATGCTTCGGATAACTTGGCTGTGACGTGGCCACCACTTGCTTAGGACGCATTCTGCGAGAAACCGAGCCGAGCATCCCAGAGGGGTGCACAGGACTTGTAAATCCGTCAGTGTCGGCACCTGGACGCTGCGAGCCTTGACGCGAAGTCGCCACTCGTGCTCGTTTTTTCCCTGCACCGCGACGAGCAAGAGCAGAACGAATAACTATGAGTCCTCCCGCTCCCCCTGCTTCGCTAACAACAGACTGCGTTTCCGGCCTGCCGAGAGCAAACGCAGAGGTGGCCTCGGGCACCCCAGTTCGTGGACGGAACCTCGCGGGGACCCACGGGTTCCGTGCTGCCCGCATAAGTCCTCTCATCGATGCACGCTCAGCCCCTCGACGAACTGTCTAGCTCCCCCAGGTGCTCACGCCTGCACATCGAAACACCGAACCACCCTGTCACCATCGGCCCCTATCTATACCCACCCGCTTGCCGACCCGTCCACCCACACAACCACACAAAGACCCACCCATTCGCGTCCTCCTACTTGATCATCTATCTTCCCACCCGCTTCTCTACTAAACTATACGTTCACATAATCACTTACTTAAGGTCGGAATCCGCCCTGCGGAGGACAGCTTCAACCAAAACAAGGTAGCGGCTCAAATGCGCAGCGGGAGCGTCCTGAACCCAGCGCGAGAAGTCAGGGAACGAACGATGGCCATTCTAGGACTGCGGAGTACGCTTGACTGACTGATACGGTCGGGAACTTCTGTTTCGCGTGTCGCGGAGGCGGCCCCGGCGACGCGCTATGCCCTGCGAGCACGTAGCGCGTCGCTCCGCTCCGCGGGGCGGGGGATGCCGGGAAGAGGCTCGGGACTCTGACGCCTGGAGGCCGGGTCGTGGTCAGCGGTGTCGCGCCGAAGCGCGGCAAGCCCGACTCGGCGGGGCGACACGCCCAACCAACCAAATACGGAATCGTACTCCCCGCCGCGCAGGCAGCAGATTCCCCCAACGCTCGAGTCCTTGAAATCCACGAGGCCGCCCTGCAAGTACTTCCCGGTGGAGCCGCTTGGGGATCTCCGGTCGCCAACGGACGTCGGAGATCGTCTGGACGTCTCAGACTTGGCGTTCGGCGCCATCCTTTCCAGGGAGATGGATGTACGGGAACGGACGAAAGGGAGGGAGGGAGGGAAAGAGAGAGAGAGAGAGAGAGAGAGAAAGAGAGAGAGAGAGAGAGACAAGGAGGGAACAGAGAAACGGGGACAGCCAGTTTGCTGTGGACGTGAACGGGGCAAGACAGACAGCGTGAACGGGCCAAGACAGACAGAATGAGGAGTCCCAGGCAGGATACTCGTATATGGAAAGAAGGTCCGACGGGCGAAGGCATTGAATGGCGAGTCCTGAACATGGTGTCGCAGTTATTGGTTACATGCCTCGGGTCTCAGATTCTAAGGATCTCTGGGGTGCGCCGCGAGATTTCCCCAAGAAGCCTGAGGAGCGTGGTTGAGGGTCACTTCCCACGTGTATCCGATTGCGGTACTGTTCGGCCCCATGCGCCAACCCGTCTGCTTTTCCTCCTTCTCCCGATTCCTGTATTTTCTCCTCCCCTTCCTCCCTCTCGTCCTTCTGCTCTTCCTCTTCCTCTTCCTCTTCCGCTTCTTCTTCTTCTTCCTCCTCCTCCTCCTCCTGCTCCTCCTCCTCCTATTCCTCCTCCTCCTATTCCTCCTCCTCCTCCCCTTCCCCCTGTTGCTGCTGTTCCGCCTCTGTCTCCCCGCTTCCCTGGCAGTTACAAGCACTCCCCAAATAAGGGCGCCCAACTTCGCGTTCTGCGCTGCGCGAAGTGCGAGGCGGAAATAACTTCGCGCTCTTGCGCCGCCCCCAAGGAGAAGAGGAGGATGCGGAAGAATCGGAGCCGAACCGCGAAGCGCGAAAAACTTCGCGCCCTTGTGCACCCGCCGACCCACGAGCACACACTGCGACGGCCAGCGTTTTCCCCAGCTAGGCCCCTGGACGCCCTGTTCTGGGCCCCAGTGCCTCCCCGAAAACGATCCAGAATGAACAGCAACTGGCCCCGAGGAGGATGTCTACGAGGACTGCGGGGTCCACGTCAGGAGGAAACCACGATGCGGGAGGTCTGGGGAGAGCGCCAGAACGGCCCGACAAGGAGTCGCCAGGGAGGCTAGAAAAGCCCGAAGACCGGCGCAGGAGGCTCCGAGGGGTGCCAATGTTCCGTCGAAGAGCCCCCCCCCTGCCCGAAGAAGGCGGGTGTCTTCGGCAAGCGCGAGGCGGCAGCGGCCACTCACTGCGAAGGTCTTCGAAAGGCCGGCCCCCCCCCCTTGCCCAACCATCCGATGCGTCGTGCTTTCTTCGCAACGTGTCTCCCGAGACGCCTTCCCCACTTCCGGGGGATTAGCTTTGCATCCCTGGCCGTTTATTCACAGTCCCGGGGCCTGGCAAGGGCCCCCAGGGGACCCCAAATGGGCAAAAACCGATCGTCGCGTTCTCTCCACGGCGCGGGGACGTCAGGCCCCCCCCCTTGTCGGCGGCGAGCCCAGGGGGGGGGGCGGCGTGAGAAAGGGCGGGCATTTGCAGAAGGCTCGGGTGTCCCGAGGCCTTGAGACAATTTTTCTAAACCTTCCCCGAAGACGCTGGAAACTCCTCAGAAGGCGCGATGGGTTTCTGAGAAGTCCCGCCGCCTGCTGAGAAGGCCGTCTCCTTCTCACTTACCCCCCTTCGCTCGCCGCCGATTCACGGCGCGAGGATGTCAGGGCCCCCCCCTGGTCCTGGGGCTCCTGAGCGCCGACTTGGGGGCCATCCTGGCGTCCTGCGACAGAGCCTGGCACGCGGCCCGTGCTCTGCCGCGCGCTGCCCGTCTCCTTCCTCCTCCCACCTTCTCCTTCGCCCCCCCTCCTCCACCATCTTCCCTCCTCCTGCTGCTCCTCCTCCAACATCTTGGTCCTCCTCCTCCTCGTCCTCCTCCTTCTCCAACTTCTGCTTATCCTTCTCCTCCCCCTCCTCCACCATCTTCCCTCCTCCTGCTGCAACTCCTCCAACATCTTGGTCCTCCTCCTCCTCCTCCTCGTCGTCGTCGTCCTCCGACTCCTGCTCCTCTCCCTCCTCCACCATCTTCCCTTCTCCTGCTGCAGCTCCTCCAACATCTTGGTCCACCTGCCCTGCCCACTCGGGCCGCCCCACTGCCCCGCAACCGCCGCAGGTTGGGGGCAGCGGGGGGGGCGGGGGGATGGGCTGGGGGTCGGTCTTGCCACGTCCCCACCCGCCTGGGGCTTGCGGGAGGTCCCACCTGCCCTGCCCACTCGGGCCGCCCACTGCCCCGCAACCGCCGCAGTTTGGGGGCGGTTGGGGGGCCGGGGGGATGCGCTGGGGGTCTCTGCTGCGCCTGCCCCCTGGCGCTGCTGACGGGTCCCACCTTCGCAGCCCTCCCATCCACCGCCTTCCCACGGCTTGTTCAGGCTCAAGTGATTATTAAGCGACCCCGGGGATTCCGAGCGTTCCGCTCCTCACTTGCGCCCCTCGACCCACGTGACCGCTCCCCCAGCCAAGTGCAACGATGGCCCCGGGCCGCTCCAGCGCCCGCGGTAGGCGCGACGGGGAAAAATCCAGGAGGTCTCGTTCGTCACCCGGGACACGGTCTCGGGACCAGGACCGGGCTGGGCAGCGGAGGCGGCCCGCGTCGCGCACCCGGGATCGCCCCTCTGGCCGAGCCTGGGATGACCGCCGCACTCGGTCGAGGTCCCTGCCTCGCCGCACCGAGGATCGCGCCCGTGCCTGGAGGGACCGCGCTTCTGACCCCACCAAGGACGCTGGGCGCGATGGCCCGCCCGCCGCCATCAGCCGCGCCTCGGCGCCCGACGGACGTGCCTCTGGTCAGGGGGAAGGTAGCACCTACATGGCCAAGAGCGTCCACGGGCGCGAGGGCCTGCTTGGCGCACCGCCAGGCCCCCGCCAGTGCTCCCGCCAGCAGCGCGTGGCGGCGCCTGCGCGGCCACTGCCCAGCCGCTCCTCCACGCGGAGGCCGCCGCGGCAGCCGCTTTTGCTGTCCTCCACAGCGGGGCGGAGCCCCCCGGCGCCTCCACTGACCCAGCCCTCCCAACAAGCGGAGCTCGCCGCGGCTGCAGCCCGGGCTGCCATCCAATTAGGCATGCTGGGCACGCCACCGTTTTCCCAGCCGCAGCCCCAAGACTCTTCGCAGCCGACAGCGCTTGGGAAGGGGCCGTTAGCCTTGCCGGGCGTCCCGCTGCCCTCGCAGTGGCAGCTGCCCAGGGCAGGAGGCGCGGCGCTGCCGACGCCGCCGCTGGCACACCCCCTCCTGCACGCGGAACTTGCCGCGGCTGCCGCCCTGGCTGCCCTCCACAACGGGGCGGCTAGCATGCTGCCCCTCTCCCAGCCGCTGACCGGCGCGCTCGCGCGCACCTCGGCCACGGCGCCGGCGGGCCCCGCGGCGGAGCTTCCCACGCCGCGCCAGCTTCCGGGGGCTGCGCAACCGCCCACGCCTCAGCAGGTGCCGCCTGCGCCGTCGGGTGCCTCGCGGTCCTTGCTGCCCCCCGCGGCAGGCGCGCCGCTGCCGCCGCCGTGGGCCAGGCCGCCGTGGCGGCAGCCTGAGGGGCAAATCCGTCTCCCAGTGCCAAGCCTGCAGCAGTCCCCCGCGGCCGTCGGCCCGCGGCCCGCTGCGCAGGTGGGCCGCGGGCTTCCTGGCTGGGCCGGATAGCCAGGCCGCCTCGGGCACGCTGCTCTTGCAGGCGGCCTTCGTCGGCGGCGCCTCGCTACGTTTCCTGAGCCTCGGCGGGGTGGAGCGCTGTCGTGTCGCGGCGACGCCCAGCACTCCGCTCGCGGAGGTGCGCGACCGGCTGGCGGCCGAGTGGCGCGCGGGCAGGCTGGGCGCCGGGCTCGCGCGGGTCGACGCCACCCTGCCCGAGGGGCGACTCCTCAGCGAGGCCCCTGGGGAGGAGACCGTGGCGGCCGCCTTCGGCCCCCTTCTGCGCTTGCGGGCTAGACTTAACAGCCCGCGGTGCGGCAGAGGCTGGGCCCAGATCGCGAATGGAAGCGCTGCCACCGAGCAGAAGGCGGCCGCCCCCCACCCGGACACCACGGACGGGGCGGCAGCTGCCGAGGTCGTCGCCGAGTCCAACCTCACGCGGGAGCTCGTCGACAGCATCTGGCAGGTCCTTGACGACGTTGAGCAAGCGGGCGCCAAGAGCGTGCCAGCGTGCGAGGCCGTTCTGGCGGCGGTCCTGCAGGTGCGAGAGAGGGCTGACAAGGCTGCCAAGCACGGGGGGTAGGCGCTGGGGGCACGGGGGCCGCAGCCGCCTCGCGCTCAGACCTTGACAAGCACGTGGCGCATGTTAAGGGCCTGCTGAACCAGGCGCACGCCGGCGCAAAGGCGCCCTCCAAGGGCCTTGCATCCGGCCTCGACGTTGAATTCGTCAAGGCGTTCCACTCGCTCGAGGATCTCTCCCGCGCCTTGGTAAACTTCGGTTGCAACGCCGTCCGCTGCGAGCCCCTCGAGTCAGGGCAATTTCGCCGCCCCGCCCCCGGAGAGTGGACCGCTATCCGCGGTGGTGGCCAGCGCTTGCTCGTGCTGAAGCTCCGCATCCCTCCGCGCCAGAACCTGCGTACCGCCACGCCTGTAAGCTGCCACATCAGGGTCGAGACGGGGGTCGTTACCTGCAAAAGGATCTACCGTAACTTTGCGGAATAGCTGTCCGCCTGGGTGGCCGCGCTTGGCCCCGTTGCCCACGTGTCCGGCCCCCTGCCGTCAGCGCCAGCGCCCAGTACTAATTCTTTGCAGGCTTTCCTCCAGAAGAAGACGTCTAGGACATGAGGCCTGCTGCTCTCGCGCAGGGCGGGCCGCTAGGGAAGTTGACCGCCATTTTTTATGAGGGGTATTTTCTCGGACCTGAGGCCGGCGCCGCTGGCGCAGGGCCTGCCTCTGGTGAGGTCGGCCCTTTTCTTCGTGAGGGGTGTTTCGTTTTCCAGCCCTTGCTCCTACCATCTTCCTCCTCCTCCTCCTCCTGCTCTTCCTCCTCCTGCTCTTCCTCCTCCTCTTGTGCATTTGCGGGCCGTAATTCGTGACTTTTTCGTTGCGTACTCCTGCCAATGCACCAATCTCCCGCTTGACGCACCCTGTGTGGTGCAATTCTGCCTCGGGCAAACATCCTGTGGCGTTAGCTGTCTGGCATCGTCGCGGCCATTCCCCTTTGCCAAAAGAATCCGCAGGCCAATGTGGCGCAGGGCCTGCCTCTTCCCGCGAAGCCGCTGACGGTGCTTGGGGACAAAAAGGCTTCCTCCTTCTGCTTTCTGTCCCTCTGAACGCTCCTTGCCTTCTCCTCTCCCCCCCTTCTCTTGCTCCTGCTCCTGATTCCCCCTGCTGTGCTGCACCCCGAACGTGGCCGGGCGAGTTCTGGCCAGCGGGCCCGAGGCGCTTCCGGGGGTGCCAGCCCATCCTCGCGGGTTTGCCGCGCGCGTGCCCCAACGTCCAGCGGGTGAGTGCAGCGCGTGGAGGGGCCCTGGTGATCAAAGTGTCTTGGCATCGAGGCGGGAGCGCGCACTTCCCCCCCCCGCGTCCTGCTCTTTGGCAATGCACTATGGGGCGCAGGGCGCTGGGTCAGGGGGCCCGTCGGCGAGAGTGCCGCGCCTTCCCTCCTGTCCCTGCCCCCCATTGCTGCAGTCTGCTCGGGCCTTCAGGTGGCTGGAGCTGCCGTCGTTGTTATCTAGGAGCCCCGTTTGGCCCCTGGGATCCCCTGGCCGGATTGGTCGGGCTACGAGTTCCACGGCGAGCGCCGCATCGGGCCCGCGACCGTTGCCCTGTTGATCTCCACTCCGCTGCGTGAGAGAGCGTTGCCAATGTTGGATGTCGGTGACTCCCGCGCGATGTGGTGCGAGCTCCCCGCCAAGGATGGCCCGGGCGTCTTGCTGCTCGAGGTGTACGCGCCGCCGCCGCACAACTGGGCTGCCGCCAGGAGGAATTTCTGGCACTTGCGCTTGGGCGAATGGAGTGCCCTGCGCGCGCCCTCATTTTTCTGGCTGGCGCCTTGTCGTTTTGGGCGATTTCAGCCTCCACTTTGCCAGCCTGGGCCCGCCCACTATCCCGTCTGAGGCCCCGCTGGACCGCGAGATCCTGGAGCTCCTCGCAAGTCCAGCTGGGTTGGGGGTTGTCTTGCGGAACCCGCCAGGTGTGGCCGCGCGCCGTTCTGGCACCAGCACTGGTCGTTGCCCCCTCGCCCGCCTTGCCTGTGCGCGTCCAGGTGGTGCCTGTCGGGTCGAAGGGAGTGCCCGAGGGCCGCGCCCGCCTGGACGCCGTGGTGCCGCTAAACCTGGAGCCGCCCCCTGCCTTCCAGCTGGGTCGGAGCCGTTGGGGATATGGTCCCGAGCGGGAGCTGGCCTTGCGGGAGGTCGAGCAACCGCCGTTTTTCATCGCGGGCTGGGCAGGGGCGGCCATGAGAAGCAGTGCCCAGCGTGTCTCGGCGACAGCCGGGCCGCGGCAGGGATGCCGCCGGGCCATGCTCGACGGCGCGGTCTGGTGGCGGTCCGTGGCCTACGCGATCGCCGGGCACTTCGGGGGGCTGGTCCTTGTCGCCGCCCGCGCCAGCGAGGGCCCCCGAGCCTGCTGGCGCCGCCGCCGACGATGCAGTGGATGAGGGCGCACCCCCCCTTCCTCTGGCGCTGACCTCCTGGCGCTCAAAGACGAGCTCGTGGTCGGGCGGGCCGCGCAACGAAGCCGCGCCCGCGCCTGCTACCTCGAGCTGGCTGCATCTCCCTGTTCGGAGGCCGACGGCTACCTCAGTGGGCTCTGGAAGCCCTGGGAACCCCTGCAGCTCG